TGTTTCTAAGTTAAATGCTTCAAGCTGGGGAACCTGAGTTAAAGACTGTCTTTTGTTTCTTTACATACAAGATGGTTTGCTCTTTTTGGTATGATAAATTATGAAGTCTTCCACCTTCTCATCTCCCTTTTTTATTTTCCCATGGAACGCTGCAAGCTTTAATTAGAACACTTCACGTTACTTGTTTAAAGGCTATCATGGGCCTCATGATAACTTGAGAATGCGAAGAAGATGGCACACAGGGCTTTGGATATCACAAAGCATTTAAATACAGTTCCAATGATTTCATATTAATTTGGCTTATCTCTAAGTATTAAAAAAAATCCAGGTAAAAGTGAGACAGATCTGCGGATTTAATGGGCTCAAAACGTGGAGGCACTGTCAAAACACTTTTTACTCAACTTTTTCTACTAGAGAGTGTGTGTGTGTGAGATCAGTGTTTCAGCGGTAACTAGTATTAGCAGGGATTTCAGGTTTGTTTGACACGGCATGTTAAAGGAATAGCTTAAAATAGGCATCAGTACATGGAAGAGGAGTTACATGTTAGGGGAATGACAAGGAAAGTCTGGGAGACATGGAAAGAGCAGACTAATACCTTTGCTTTACTCTGCTTTGTCACTCCACTGATGGAAAAGTGCTCAGAGGATATTATTGCTTTTAAACCATTCACATTTTTCTACTGCTGACTTTTCTCTGTGCCTTGGAGCTACAGATTTTGTCTCCTTGTCTCTCCTTTTTTATCTCTTTACAACATGCTAAACACATGCCCACTGACAGTCAATCCCCTAAAGCTTTTGCCTGCCCAGCCAGCTCCAGATACGTATTTATATAAGTCTGTGACTGGTTTGTCCAATTTGACAGCGGGTACGAATGGAATGAAGCAAGTGGGATGTTGGTTGTTAAAGGAGGCGATAGCATCACAGTTCTCATTCTCCCTCGTTTTAATACAGGTTAGAGTCTCGTGGTAGGATTTTTTAACATAAGCCTCTTCTGAACTGTGGTTTTAGTTCTTAACACCCTACTCTTTAAACCAAATCCCAAATGAGACACGGCAGAAAGGAGTTATGAAGAAAACGTAGTTGATAAAAATATGTAACTTTTCAAACTTCATCTTTTGCCTAACAATGCAGAATTGTGCTACTTATCGTACACATACAATATGAGCAATGTACACAGACAGTTACTGTATTGATTTCCTTGATAAAAAGGAAAGTGTGTACTTTGTGTACTTTGCAAATATGGTTAATATATGGTTAATTCTTTTACAACTTAAAATATACCATGCGATAACCATCTCCACACACACACACACACACACACACACACACACACACACACACACAC